ACTTAGGGCTAGTTTATTTCATCTTGTGATAAACTGTCAGGTATACAATCTGACGGATAAAAACACATGCAATCTGTAATCTCATCGGTCGACCAGTTTTCCGCTGACCAATAGAATTATTGAGCGGTAAATTTATCTTGGAGATAGTTACCAACAAGTTTATCTGAAGATGAATAAACCGAACCATAGAGTTACAAATGAACCCATATTTGGTTGCAAAATTTAAATACGCGTCCATAACAAGTGCTGACGTAGAAAGAAGTTTTTCCGACTACAAAAACATTTTAAGTTACAGAAGACTAAACTTTACTATGGAACATTTAAATCAGCATTTAGTTATTGCTTGTTTCTACAAGAACTATTTTTTTTTGTTGTTCATTAGAGACTTGTTTTGTTTATTTCAATGTTAAGTTACCTATTATATTTTTCATCATGTGTATTCTATAGATAAGCAATACATTTTTATTCCACTTTTTTTGCTTTTTTTGCCTTGTTCTTGCATATTCCATGCTTTTTTTGTGAAAAATTACATGCTTTTTAAGCGCTTATTTCAACTTTTTTTATGCTTTTTAATCCGGACTCTACTAATAATACCTCCAAGAAAAGAGAAAAAAGAAATTCCCAAAGAAGATTCTCCTATATCTTCGAAAACTCAAAAAAGTAACAGACAAATAACACCAACTAATCGTTCTTCAACAATTTCAGCCTTGTCTGAAAATGACCAAACAATACATACGTCTATGGAAAATCCAATATTAGGAGCTCCATATACTAAGAAACATGTAAATGTATTTGGAAATCAAATTGTATTTCGATATTCCAATAATAACACAATTAGAAAAGAGATAATCAAACTATTTGGTAATAAAAAGAGAATAATTTTCTTCCTACCAAATAATCCAACAACATCACAAATTACTAATTTAGTAAAGGAATACATGCCACCTGGTATTTATTGCCTTCATTTCCTAAATAAATCTTTAGAACCTATTGTGATACGAGCATTACAAGAATCGTTTAATTCGAATTCATTTACTTTATACATCTCGAACTCTCTATTAGAAGACATCACAGAAGTTGATCTTCAACAAGAGAAAATTCAGCAATATCATGAGACTAAAACCTCTCATAGAGGAATCACTGAAAATATTGCAGCCTTAAAGAAAAGATTCTATTGGCCCAATATCGAGAAAGACGTACAAAATTATGTCAAAGTATGCGAGATATGCAATAAAACCAAGTATGAACGTCAACCATACAAAATCATATTCAAACCAACACCCATTGGTATGAAACCCTTTGAACATATTTATATTGACACGTATATAATCAATAACTAGAAATTTCTGACCATTATTGATAGCTTTTCAAAATTTGGTCAAGCCTCTTCTGTAAATACGAAAACAGCTGTTGAGATATCATCACAGTTATTGAAATATTTTAGTGATCATGGAATACCTCAAAAAATCACATCAGATAATGGAGCAGAGTTCAAAAATGCTATAATGACAGATCTTTGTACATTATACAAAATTGAGTTTCATTACACAACTCCAAGAAACCCGAACTCGAATAGTCCAATCGAACGATTCCATTCGACACTACGTGAAAGTATAACGAGTTTGAAACTCCAAAACCCGAATAAGAGTATTATTGATCTAATGACAATCGCTATATTGAATTATAACAACAGTACTCATAGTACAATGAATCACACCCCTTTTCAAGTGAATAAAGGAGATTTGAATTATGCCATACCGATTGAACAAACGGAAAATAAACTAACAACTGACTATATAACAAGTTTGGCAGAATCTCTTGCAAATTTGAATAAAGAAATTCAAGACAAATTATTAGCGAAACAACCAAAGTCTTTAGAATCACGTAATAAAAATCGTGAACCTGAACCAGAATTACAAGATCCAATCTTTGTAAAACAATTTAATAGAGACAAGATAAGTCCGCGTTATGATAGCAAAACACAGAATCGCTTTGCTAAACTAAATGTTAAACGACAATAATTTATTTCAGGTACTCCGAGATGAATCCTTTAGTATTCCTAACTCTCGGTGGAGTCACCCAAGCGTATACATTGATGACGGTAGAAAATCCTATTTTACCAATTTCTTTAGGAACTACTTACGTAACAACTCAACATAACACGGCCTATTATCACATAAACACGACGATTATCATACAAAGTATCCATAAACTGGAAATTACCTTAATGAAATTATCTGACACTCTAAAAAAAACAACATGGTCAAACCAATTTGTTGCACTGTTTCAAACAAATATTGAAAACAGTCATTCTCAAATTAAGATTATGAAACAAGTAATCAGAACCTATCAAGACCGAAAACGTAATAAAAGAGGTCTATTAAATTTCCTGGGCACAGCACAAAAATGGCTCTACGGAACCTTAGATGCTGAAGACGGCGCAAGATATGATTCTTATATCCAGACGCTTAATGATAATCAAAAAACTCTCAATGAAGATCTAAAAACACAAGCTCAAGTATTGAAACAAGTTACAAAAACATTTCACGATCAATTTTTAACTATTGAATCTAACCAAAAGGTTATCACAGGAAAATATTTCCTTGGAAAACCAAAATTTCCACTCAATGTTAACCTTTAATCTAATATTGAACAACATCAATATTCAAAGTAATAAAATAAGGAATCTTATTGATCATCTGCAATTAGCAATAAATTTTGCACAATTGGGAATAATGCATTATACTATTTTACAGCATAATGAATTAAATCAAATATTAACAAATATACCCAAAAGTCAACAAATACCTTTTGATAATAAAATCAAGTATTACGAGACAATGAAAACTCAAGTAAAAATCCAAAATGAGTTAATTATATTTGTTATACACACACCAATGATTGATCCCAAGCCCTTTATATTGTATAAAATCTATCCAATTCCTATCCAAGAACATACCATTAGGAATAAGTACCCTTACCTATTACTTACTACGGACATTTACTACAATACGTTATGGGAATGCCCGAAAGTCGAAAGTGTGTACCTTTGTAACCAAGAAGAGCTGGAGCAAGAAGAATCATGTGTCTACGACCTGATTACTGACCTACCACAACAATGTCCTTTCACTAAAGTGAAATATGAAAAACCAACAGTGAGACAACTCCCAAATGGACAACTATTAGTCATCCCTAAGAAAAGTCTGATTATAGTTATTCAATGTGATAAGACAATCCATATGGAAATAATAACAAATCCAACGCTAGTTTCGTTTGAAAAATGCTTTGTGAAAATACAAAATCAAACATTTTCAAAAACCAGCGAGAACTTCAATTTTGAACTGAAGATTCCAAGAATAGACATCCCTGAACTTCCAGAGAACGCAACAACATTGGAACTTCAAGAAATCAACCAAGAAGACTTAGAAGAAGCCTTCAAGACGACGAAACAAATAAGAGTTCATAATCTGAAAGAATTGTATTTTGAACACTCTTATTTAAACACATGTAATGTAATCATAGGTTTAAGTCTTGCTATTTTATTTTTAATTTTACTGTTTTACTGTTTTAGGAAGTTTAAAACTTCAGAAAAAGGTTGTGCAAATGTGCAAATTGAATTGTCTGATTTGAATTCACATCAATCCACGTTTGCAACATCTTAAGGAGGAAGAAGTTATATTAACCAATTGCCATGCTGATTTATAATCAATTATCTATTTTTTATATGCTTTAATGTGCTTACCTCTTTCCTCTAGGACTTTTTAAATACATTGTTGTAAAGTAAACATCAAATTGCTATGTCGGCATTAAATGATTATTTAAGCCGATGCAGTCCCATAAGGAGCGTTCATCTGTTTTCTGGCTTTAGCCTGTAGCAATTTGATCCGAATATTTTCTTTTGTCACCTCTGTATTTTAATCAATAAAATAAATGTTTTTTAAAATACAAGTTTCTGAATCGAAAATATAATTTACCTACATAAATTAACTATTTATTGTTGCCAACAGTAGTTTGGATTGGATTATTTTTACTTTGTCTTTTATGTACCTTGTTTTCCTATGTTAGTTTTTTTCATGGTTACTTAATAAAATGTGCGTTTTTTACGAAAATCTCTCACATTTTCCTTAAGCCATGGGATGGGGCGGCAAATTTACTCATTGCCAGGGCGGTACAATAACTAGCGCCGGCCCTGTGCTCACGGAACTAATTTTTGGGGTTTGGACGAAAATTACTAAGAGGAAGCAATATTTTTTCATGGATAAATGCTTGTATGTAGTATGTATAAACTGTACCTACGTCTAAATGATTTTGTATACAGGGTGTACCTACCCCACGTTTTTGTATCAATTATTTTAACCTTATCATTTTTTGAATACGATTTTATGTAATAGGTACTTCTAATTTAATATTTACTTATATTTTATTTATAGAAAATTGCTATTATTTGAAATAACGTTTCAGTTTTCATATTCCGGTAAGTGTTACTGAATAACTTTTTATTAAAAGACACGATACAAAAACTGTATGATAATGATAATAATGTAACAACATCCTTGCTGATCAAAGTACCTGGTAGTGCTTTGAGAACTTTGAACAGAATTGGAGTTTTCTACAGCAAAGCAATTTTTGTTCAACGATTGAAGGATCTGAAATTGGAGGGTCAGAACTTGAACCTAAGATCTACTCTAGACTGGAGTTAGGAAGATATAGTTGACGATTGTGCACTCCTAGCTCAGCGTAAAATCTCCGTGAAAACATGAATCTGGAAGATCAAAATCAACGCGTCAAAGATTCCCTCTGATGATCAACTTCAAAACTCAACCCCTTCTTTAACAAATCCTGGACTCAATTCAGTTTCATGCTCGAGAACCTGGAAAAACACAAACCAAAATCGCCAAAAATTCAGAGGATTTTTTTGCAGCGGCGCCCCTCTTCTTCCCGACGCCTGCCCAGTAGGGTCTCTGATCCAGAATGGGCGCCTGGATGGGCCAGTGCGCGATCAACCACGAAACGCGAACGTCGGGACGTCGTTTGGATACGGGTTTTTTCCGATGTAAAATACGACGTCGTATTATGTAGAGATAAAAGTTGGATAACTTTTTTTTTGAAAATGTTTGAAATAATGGATTACTGTTCTGGTTGGTATATAAGATTTAAAAGTAAGTTTTTGTTAATAAAAATAGTTTAAAATTAAGTGGCAAACCAATTAAATTATGTACTAAACAACTTAATTATTATAATCTTAGTTATTGTTTATCATTTTTTCAGATGCCACCTCATATTGTCGAGACTTTTAAGGATTAATTAGTGTTCAAGTGACTCAAGTTTAGTGTTTCAAAAATGGACAAATTTCTGGTCAGGATCGTGGTGTTTTCCATGTTTGCTTCCACTAGTAAGTAGACATTTCATTATTTTGCATTTAATGGAATCTGGATGTGACAAGATAAACAAGTATTTGAATAGCAATTTTCATAAAGGAGTTCACTTTGGCAGGGAACATTTACATTTATACATTTTATATAGACAGATAAGGGATGAGAGTTTTCTAAAAAAAAAATAACTTAAACTTTATTTGTTCCTTAAGCAAACAAAATCAAACCATTTTCTCCCTTCTAAGTATTTGATTGTCATTAATATTCAACATAAAACCAACAAGCTTTTCCACTCATTCATTCTTAATTCAAGTCTCTAAGCAGAACCAACATCTCCTCGATGATTTATGTCAAGTTAAATAAGAAAAGGCTCATTTCAACATCCGCATTCCCTCAAATTTCTCGGCAGGTTGGTGTGACTAAATAACTGCCACTACGATCAATATTAATCATCGTTCAGCCAGGCCTTTTTGGGCACGATCGGAGGGTGAATTATAGCAACACAAGCCCTCTATCCGGGTATCGGAAACACTCTCTTTGACAACATCATGATGGTCAAAATTTATTTTGTTAATTGGAAAACTAAAAATGCTTTTAAACTCAAGTTGGATAATTGCCTACTCTAGGTAGACGTGTGCTTTATTTACAATCTCAAGACTTAAAGTTATTGCATCTTTCAAAAATCCCATTCGTAAAGTGCAAACACAAGTTTTAATTGTATATCCCCTTGAAACTATTAAAGTTTAAAATTGCAATCAATTTCTCGAGCTGCCACTTAGCCGCTCGGCGGCGGCGGTGGGAAATTTCTCTCCTTTCAAAGTAGTTGGCGAAAATTTAAAATTATAATGGGAGTGATTTTATTGAAAGGCTCTAGGAGGTTTATTGACCCCAAGCCAGTCTATTAATGTAGCTTTTCAAATAACTGAAGTCATTTTTCTTTATTTTTCCTCTCATATGCCAATAGCTTCAAAAGCCCCATCATTTGTCACTGGCGGTTGAAAATATCCTGGATACTTAGATGATAAACGAGGACATTGCTGCAGGGGATTTTTACTGCGTTTCTACGAAGGTATATAAATAGAGTCCCTGTCATCTTGGTTTACATAAGGGCTTGCTTGAAATTTATACCTTGTGGTTTCCCTTAGGGCTCAAGGGAGCGTTTATAGGAGCTCATATTAAACGCAACAGTTGCTCTAAACCTACTAAATTAGAATTAATGAATGTTGAGATATATTACTTTTATGCCATTATTAATCTCACTGGTTTGATCTAACTAACTGGTTAATGTCTAACAATATTCGCTTATAGGATTTTCATGTTTTTCTAGTTCAAATTCTATCTCTAGCAAGTCGCGGTTATAAAAATCTTGCTGGGAATCAAGTAGCCAGTAATAATTTTGTTTTCTATCATAGCAAAACTCTATTCAATAAATCTTGAAAGTTGCAAATTGCTGGGATGGCTGGAAGTATTTTTTAGGAACCTTCAAAGACGATTTTACAGGAATTTTATGATCTTCCCAGGTATCAATAAGTAAAAAAATTCGCAACTTTAGTTGTGAGTTTCATATCAACTTCCAATGTTTTTTTATCAAAAGAAAACTAAATAATAAATTCTGAAAGTTTCAAATTGTTGGGATGCCTCAAGGTATTTTTCAGGAAGCTGCAAATTCGATTTTACAGGAAGTTTAAGATTTTCTGAGGTATCAATGAGTGAAAAATATCGCAGTTTCAGTTGTGAGTTTCATATCAACTTCCAATTTGTTTTGTATCACGAAAAAACTCTACTTAATAAATCTTGAAAGTTTCAAATTGCTGGGATGGCCCAAAGTATTTTTCAGGAACCTTCGAAAACAATTCTACAGAAATTTTATGATTTTCTCATAGTGTAGTCAAGTTATCGGAATTTAGGTCCAACTTCTGAAAAAATTATATACAAATGTTTATGAGTGGGAACATACAAATAATGTGGCCCTAGATGACATACTAAAAGTCCCATAGATTCTGACAATGGCAAGTTGCAAAAAAGTGGCCGCCAATAGCTTTGTTTGTTTATTTGCACCAATATGGCATTTCCTACTCCAAATGTATTTTAATCCCTATATTTTTGTTAGTCTGATAGAGACAAACAGATTTTTTGCTGTACCTGGTGCAGCTTGGTGTAACTTTGGTGCAAATAAACAAACAAAATTGATGATCCCAATATTTTACGCAGAGGTCATAATGATTATGCCAAAAGTACCAACCTTTATCTACAACAAATCAAATCAAATCAAATCAATATTGCTTTATTGTAGGAAGACATAGTCTCATTTACAAAGCTGTGGAAAATAAACTACATAATCATAATATCCATAAGATCCAACTTCCTAATAGATTACATATCTTGATAACTAGTAATAAAATTCTAATCACTAAACAATGAAGATAAAAACAAAAATAAAAATTAAAAACAAAAACAAAAACCAAAATAAAAACAAAAACAAAAACAAAAATAAAAATAAAAATAAAAATAAAAATAAAAATAAAAATAAAAATAAAAATAAAAATAAAAATAAAAATAAAAATAAAAATAAAAATAAAAATAAAAATAAAAATAAAAATAAAAATAAAAAAAAAAAAAAAAATAAAAATAAAAATAAAAATAAAAATAAAAATAAAATTAAAATCAAAATCAAAATCAAAATCAAAATCAAAATTAAAATCAAAATCAAAATCAAAATCAAAATCAAAACCAAAATTAAAATTAAAATCAAAATTAAAATTAAAATCAAAATTAAAATTAAAATTAAAATAAAATCAAAATTAAAATTAAAATTAAAATCAAAATCAAAATCAAAATCAAAATTAAAATCAAAATTAAAATTAAAATTAAAATCAAAATCAAAATTAAAATCAAAATTAAAATTAAAATTAAAATAAAAAAAAAAATAAAAAAATAAAAATATCAATATCTACCTATAAATGAATGAATATCTAGGGTGGCATTAGCTAGCTAGTCATTTAAACCTAATTGAAATTATGGGAAAGGAACTCATCAAAACTGTAAAACCCCTCCGCAGCCAAGAGTCTTTTCACCGTATTTCTAAACACCCTGTAATCTACAATTCGTCGAATCTGGACAGGCAACTTATTGAACAGCCTTTTACTATTATAAAGAATCGAGTTCATGGTTAAAGTTGAAGAGGGAATGGGCAGATCAATGGTAAACGAACTTCGAGTATTTACAGCGGATACAGAGTGTACCAGATTCAGAAACTTCATAATATGAGTCTTGAAAACTATGAAAAATTTGTTAATGAAGAAATGTTCACTGGAAGAAGAACCAACAACTTTTGGTCCGGCGGTACTTGGACCCACGTGGTGATCGAGCAGAATTTGATGGCGTCAATCAAAACAACTGGTGGCCTAACTCATGGACGCGGATTTACTGATTCGTCTTTGGCCAGATGGATTGCTGGTATGTCAGTTTGTATGCCTGTTACAACAGCTATAAAAGATTTTTTGGGATGTAAGTCTGTGACTTCAGGCATATAAAATTAAGTCGCTCACGCCAGCAACGTGACAAAACTGATTCGCGAAAAATTCAAGATTGGCTAGAAGAATACAACTCTTATAAATGCAAGGAGTTCATGTCAGTTTTCTCTGGACGAATAGCTAAATCCTATATAAACTGCGATTTAGCAGATGAAATTGGAAGAACAGTACTAACAAAAAATATAAGCAAAGTATTCACAGATAATAAATGCAAGCGAACGGATCAAATCAAAAATTTTTCACAAATGAGCAATAATATTAAAACTATTCAGAATTATGTTAATGTGTCCCCTATGCAATTATTTAATAGAATTATATGCTCCAACAAAACTCCAGACGAAATAAGGGACTGTTTCAGCTTTGAATTATCTCCGTATCCGTTATCTCTTTTTAAGGATGGTATTTTAAGGAAAGGCACAAAAAGCCTTCTTTTTAAAGAATTTGATGCTTTGGCTACATCCATTTCGTCCACTAAGCAAAACGCAATATATATAGTTGATGGCGGTTTTCTCCTACACAAAGTTTTATGGCAAAACCCTGCTACGTTCCACCAAATTTGCTATCAATATATTAATAATGCTAAACATGTTTATGGTCTGGACTGTGTAGTGGTCTTCGATGGTTACGATTCAACAAAGGATGCTCTGCAACAAGTCAGATCACAAAATGCCATAGAAATATCAGTAAAATTGGAAAATTCAATTGTTACGCCACAAGAAGAATTTTTACGGAATATTAACAACTCATAGAGCTTTCAAAGATTCGATTTAAACAAACAGGTATTAAAATAATACAGGCTGAAAGCGACGCAGACTATTTAATCGTTAGGACTGCAGTAGAACTTTCTAATTGTGGCAGAACAACTGTATGTGCATCTCTTCGAGAGTGTCAAAGTCACGAATTTTGCTCATATTGAAAAACCATACAAATTCAAATAGGTATATCGCCTCCTATGCAGGGAACAACAGCGCCCTCGGTATGGAACCGAGGTCGACAAAAAAGGTACGAAAAACACTCGATTCGTACAGCCAAGCGACTGTGAAACACACTCTCTCTCTTTTCGCCAAACACGAAACACGAACACACATTTTTTAATCCGTCTTCGCACACAAGAAAGTCGATGAATATCGCGAGCTCGCCGGTTACCGGTTTCGAAATAAAAGCCGGTAGTGTTGTGCAACCGAAACAAAATCCGGGATCCCGGTATTAACAATTAACTTAGAACTAGAAGAACCCCAGAACCACAGGTAAGGCGCCTTTTATCATATTGTCTTTTGTATGGTTATTTTTTTGTTACATATTCATTAGTTGCGCTTACAGTCCACGTAACTCCGAAGGTGATTCTAAAATATCAACCATTACGCCAACAACAACCTTAGTTGTATATATCTGAAGACACAGACTTTGTTGTTCTGTTCTGTTGATTCATCATTCAGAGCATGAAAAGATGTTTCTGCGTCGTCCCGGGGAGAAGCTGCCAAAGCTGATAAAGTAACAAATATATTAGAACTTCAAGAAAAACTTGGGCATATTAAACAATACATATTAATTCCTTAATGCCATATCAAGTTGCGACATCACTTCGTTCATTTTCAAAAAAAGCAAAATACTATGTTTAAAGCTGTTGAAAAATGATATTCTCCTATGTCAAAGTCTTCAAATATTTTACCAACAAAATCCAGATAAAAACCAATTATTAGAAGTAGGCGTAACATTTATTACCAAATTGTACAGGCCCAGGAATAGCAAAGAAATAATTGATACCCTAAGATTTACTTTATACAATCGAATAACATCTCGTAAAGGTCTGTCTGTAAACTTTGACTTCACTGCGCTTCCCCTAACCAAAGATGCTGCTGTTCAACATGTTTTTAGAGTCTATTATCAGGTAAGCTTTTAAAATAGAAGAATGGATGGGATCAAGCTAGATCCGTTATTCTACGGATGGGAACGAGATAGAGATGGATATCTTGCACCTACATCCGTAACAAAAGAAATTGCCCCCTCTGATATACTAAAAATGGTATTCTGTAATCGCAAGGAAGGAACATGCAACAAGACATGCTCCTGCAGAAAACTTGGATTAAAATGTTCTGCAAAAATGTGGTCAATGCTTAGGAATGATTTGCTGTAATTCGTGCATCGTATATGAAAATGATGAAGAAGATGATATTACTTTTAAGTGAACGTAGTAGGTATTCTTTTGTGAAACTGGAAAAAGTCAGTAATTATTTAAATACATGGTTGTTGATACATCCCAACAAATGTAAATTTGCATTTTAAGTTAAAATTATCCTTCCACTTTTCCTCATAAACCTGATAGTTTTTGAGATATTTGCAATAAAATGTAAAAAACAAAATGGCGGCCGTTTTTTTCAACTTGCCAGAGACATAATCCATGGGACTTTGAGTATGTTGTTTAGAACGTTACTCCTCGTCCATTTTTGTTAAGAAATGCTTGTATAGAATTTTTTCAGGTTCAACATCTAACTTGCCTACACTATCAGGTAAGTATCAATAAGTAAAAAAATTCGCAACTTTAGTTGTAAGTTTCATATCAACTTCTAATTTGTTTTGTATCACGAGAAAACTCTACTTAATAAATCCTTAAAAGAACTGGAGTAAAACACACAGTCTATCTTCACTCTTTATTTTACAAAAATAATCAGTTGGAAGGGGGGTTGTACATGTTTCGGATCTATCATAGATCCATCATCAGCATAAGTTCTACAAGTTACACAAATATGGGAGTTATGGGGTGGGCCTGGGGTGTATACATCAAAAACTTATCAAATGGCATAGGGAAAATATGGTCATATACGACATGCCTAAGTATAATAATTATACATAAAAATATAAGTGTTCATGCTGTTATCAGCATAAAGTTGGTGGCTAAAGCCGCATCCAACACAGAACATATTTACAAAACTGGAATAGAGGAAGCTTGTGAGTACGATTTCAAAAATTACGTCAAAGTTTCAACTTACCAAAGGTGAAGATTGAAAAAATTATTTTATTAACATTAGAAAATAGGACTGCCACACAAACACAGAATATGCCTATAGGAGGCGGAATTCTGGACACTCATCTGTACTTCTGGATGTTAGTGGGTGTTAGCTTTTAGCTGTTAATCAAATTTCAAAAATTTTCTTTATGAAAATCGTGCTGTCTGCACGAGGAGTAAGAATGTAATGGAGATGAGGAAGAAGATGGTGGCAGGAAATTAGTAAAATTTGCTGCATAAAAACCTTGACCATTCCAAAAATCAAACCAAGTAGCTCCCTCTTACGACCAAAGGCCAAACAATCATTTTGGTGGTGAAATAAAGACGTCACTTAAATAACCGGAATGCCAATGTCTATTTTAAAAAAATATTATTTATTACGAAAATTACATAGATCAATAATTAAAAAGCATAGAGCGAAAGCTTCAGACTGACTGAGGCGAAGCGGCGTGGAAACTAGTTTTGTATCTTCTTTCTTGCTGAATGTGCAGAACGTTGACTTGGATTTTACGTGGTATTATAGGGGTAGATGGTCACATAATTCGTGCGTGTTTCTTGCTCTAAAAATAATGGATGTTAGTATGTTGGAAAGATGGAACAAAAAATGTGGTAGATTCTAGTGAATTGAAACCAATAAAACGAAAAGAAATAAAAGTGGGATGTAGAGTGAAAATGTTGTATAAACGCCGATGGTATTTCGGTAAAGTACCTGCAATTGAGCTTATTAAAAGCAAAAAAAGTAGGGTTGAAAGAACAAGTTCGGATTTCGAAGATGATCTACCTTTAGCAGAGCTCCAAATACGGCTGAGAAATGTTGAAAAAGATACCTTAAAGGATAAACGCAGTCATATAATTGAATCTAAGGTATGCAACAATATTGACGTTGACTCCAGGCGTAATCCAGGTAGGTTTGAATTGACTCTCCATTTATTAATCTACTATATAAAATTTTATGTTAAAATTTCAAATAGAAAACATTATTATTGAGAAAAGTTATTCTGTCTGAAAAACCCGTCTTTACTTGAATTATATTTTTTATTTCAGATAAAAACAGTGGTAGTAATGCATCAAACACTTTATTGGTCAAATAGAAAAAATAGATAAAGATGAATATACACAGTTAATTTCATGAAAAAAAAACCAAATCATAGGTTCAGCTTTCCTGAGAACCGGAATGAAGATATTGTGTCGAAAGATATTATTCAAAAACTTCCAATGCCTTCTGCTTCTGGTGGAAATGAAAGATCAGCAAAACAATGACTCTTTGATTTCGATTTTGAGGACTTTCATTTGCAATAATGCTTCTCACCACTGTTAAGTTGTTTCTCGTTTTGAATTTATAGCTTGATCAAAACTTTTCTATTTGTACTACAAATCCAAATATTTTTATGTTTGATACCTTGAAAATTATTAGAATAAAGTTATGTTTTCTAGTTTAAGTAATGTTTCAAGAAATGTTTTCCTATCTTTGTCATTGGGGTAGCCACTTAATTTATGTTAAACTTCTATCATTTTGTCAATAAATGTAGCAAAACGCCCCAAGTACTCTATGTAATTAGTTAGATGGTAAATGGCGAGCGGTATATTGATGGTGTTTATTTCCTTGGAGCTGCTACCTATAAAATTGTGGAAGGGTCTATTCGCAAAAGAGAGAAACAAATTATTGAGGTTTACTAAATTATATTTTATTATACATAAAACCAAAAATTTTTAATCAGCAAAATATCTTCCAATTCTGACAGCCTCATCTATTTTTCTAAATTCAATTACTTCACATACGTTCAAAATGTCATTATTACGGACCAGAAATATCCATACAAATAAAGAAACGCCCTATTCCTACTGTTCCTAATAACTTATAAGTTAATTCATTTCATCACTTCCGATTCATTCTTATCAAACTACCCTTCACCTATTTCTATAAATTGTTTAAAATTTCTAAGTCCTTTACTGACTACTTATGAAAAACCCAAAATAATTACCTATTTGTTTATTAATATAGGTATTACTAGCTTATTCTTATAAAACAACTTACAATAATTTCTACATGAAATTTAAAACCCTAATTCAAAATTCATTTCATGAACAATAAGTTTCCTTTAACAACTTTCCAATATTTTAAGACAATTCTATTTCATGAACATCAAGTTTCTTTTCGAAATTTCCTATTCCATTTAATAGTTTATTTAATCAGAACAAATTCTATTTTCGGATTCCTAGCCTAGCTAATAAACCCAACTGTTTAATTCATAATTCCTACTCAAAATTGTATATTATTAAGTGCATTATAAATTCCCTTCATATTTTCTTTGCACTATTAAATTAGAATGTCATTATATCTGAAGGCAATTAAAGTTATGCAATAATGTTCCATAGTCAAAACACTCGAGTTATTAATATTTATGCAATAAAGTACCAAAGTTAATTATAATGTCAAAAAGTTTTCCTAGTAAAAATCACTCAAGTTTTTAGGCATTAAAAGTCATTGTTAATTCACTTCTTATCATTCAGAATCATTAATAAAAGTCAGAAAATTATTAACCACTGAAGTACTTACATTTAACTTTTCACACGTAAAATTACTTAATTAATTACTCAAAATTTTCTAGAGCCCGCACATAATTATTGAACGCCTTTAAATGTTCTTTCACAATTTTCCGTACTTTTCAAAGACCTTTTCCGATTCCATAAAAGAACTTTTCGCGAATTTCAACCGGACAGACTCATTAGGTACTATAGACTTTAACTCAAACTAGACTGGACTGCTAACAACTGGCAACTGACAACTGATTTCCACCGCCTGTTTTATATTTTGCGATTCTCCCGCAAAGTATTATTAATTATCCCCCAAAATCGTCAATAGGCGGTCGTTTGACCATCAATAAGACAATCCCATTGGCCGACCTAGATATTATCAAAATAATGATGCAATCTCCTTGAAATTTTTGTCATCTTTATATGTGAAAAAATCGAATAATTATGTCGCACTATCCTGATTTATCGGGGTCAATACATTGGTTCAAGAATGTGAGGATAACACAAAGAAACCTATAGAACACGTGAGCCATAATCATGGATTTTAATCACATTGGCCTCGCTTAAAAAAAAAAGTTCATTGATCGGATGTTAGGATGACATCACGCTGAAGAAAATAATAATTTGGGGTCACGTTAATTTGTTCCATTTTTAATTTATCGATACTGATTTGGAAATACCGGAAATTCAGTTTTTGATTATTTGATATTATTTAATTTTTACAGTAAAGACATCTAGTATCTACCTCTACTCTTCATCTCATAAGAGTAGTACCTCAAGTCAAGAAAGAGAATCTCAAGGCCAAGGGCAGTGAGCCGTTGCAATTTGATGATAGTACTGTAGTTAGTGCCAGTGTTAAGGTATAGGACTTTAATCGATAAATTATCTGTTAATTGTCGGTAGTACCTGTCAGCGGTATCTGCAATTTCCTGGTGGTATAAGTGACTTTGAAGTTGAGAAATTTTCCTTCGACGAACACCACGAGGCTGTGGTTGGAAAGATTTATCTTTTTTTTCTATTCATTTATTTGGCTTCAAAAAACATTGTCCAACTATACACATGCATCTTTCCCAGTATGCAACATAGGGTGGTTGCATAGTGGGACATTCAATTTTTTCTATGTTAAAATGTAAAAGCTGTTAAAATTTTCACAATTAATAATAAACAAATTACTTTTGAATTTATTAGAACGCTCAATAGTTCAAAAGTATTCAACACATTTTTTATTTCAATTAGAAAAATATTGTCCCAGTACCTATACAACAGTCACACTATTTATGAATAAAAAAATTCGCAACTTTAGTTGTGAGTTTCATATCAACTTGTAACATGAAAAAATTCTAATCAAAGAGCCGGGAATAAACACGAAATTAGATGGAAAAAATGAGAAAAAACGTTCAATAGAAATTGAGGAATGGAAATAGGAAATTGAGATGAAATTGGTTGACAACTAGGAATTTAAATATTTGCTCTATTCCAGGCTCTTGAATTCTCTATTTTAAGAAATAAAAAATTGACGAAAACAGAAATTCAAGAGCCGGGAATAAACACGAATTGAGACAGAAAATGTTTAAAAGAAATTTATTGAGAAGTAG